CATCTTGAAACCCCGAAGGCCTCTGAGCCCTGAACTCATGCAAGCCTGGACCATGTGCCGTTAGGCCTCTCTTCGCTGCTGCGTCTTCGGGCTACCTGGAGCTAGTAGAGCTCCTCGGCCGGATAGAAGCTCCTGAACCGGACTAGCAACGCTTACCTGAAAAAATCGACTTTGGAGTTCGTGTTGATTTAAGCTTAAGCTGTATAGGTTTTCAGGTTTGAGTTTCTCTGTGCGTTGGTTGCTGGCACTAGTCAACTCTGTTTGGTACCACCCTCTGGGTCTTCGGCTTTGAGGCCTTAACCCCACGATTTTCGCAGCTTTAGGGTTTAGGGTTTACGCCCGCACACAGGTGTCAGGAGACTTGAATGGGTGACTGTATTGTGATTTTGTTTGATGCAGTATTGTGTGAAATTCTGCAGCTGGTCAGCAGAGTCGCATTAAGGCACCCATAAATTTTCGCATCCGTGGCCTTCGCCTCTTCAGTCCTTAGGGCTCCATGTGCCCCTATATTGTCAATTACTTAGGCCCCTTCAAGGCCCATTTATTTGTACTATATGGATACATGGATAACTTAGGTAGTCTGGCTAGCAGGCCACTCCGACGTGTACACGTGGAGACGGCGTCTTTCGGACCGTCCGCCGAATGTTGCTCCATCCGATGAGAAGTTTCGCTTGCGCCACGTATGCCTTCTGCGGGGCTTATGGCCAAACCGGCTGCACCGCACTGCCAAAGCATGCTCAGCTACACCCAACCGCTGAAAGTTGCGAAGCCAATCCTACGATCCGAAACTGCTGAGGCTGTTTGCCGAGCATCGTGGCGACGTGACACCTGGAGGAAGAAGCAAACTTTTCAGGGTTCTTGCGATGTTCCAAACGTCGAGACCCTTGGAAGTCTTAACAGGCTTCCGTGGCTGTCTTGATGCCTGTCCTAGGGGCAGTCTGGGTTAATCCTTTCACCCAAAAGCATACATGACCAAAGCCCCGAAGCCTTCCGTCTTCCTTCGGCCGGGAACGTTATCGTGCGAAACTCGACCCTCCTTTTTCCGATTGCAGCCTTGCAGACATCGTCATACTCAGTCGCTTCAATGCCGCAGCCGCTGCTTTGGTATTTTGAGGGCTCCTGCACGAAGCCCAGGAACAAAAGCGGCAGCAGTTCTACCCCACTCCGCGCAGCATCGTCATCTGGTCATGTCGAGGCCTTTTGTATCCTGGACTTTGTATAATTTTTAACAATCCGCGCGTTTATGTCAACCCGACATGCCCCAAAACCTTCAGCCCCCAGTTAGGAAATATGTGTAGTACCCCATAGCTATACCAGTATACTGTATAGCGTATCTGTATGACCGATACAGACCCGAATCGCCCTTTAAACCCCTATAAGCCATAAGCCTCATTATAGAAGCTCGTAAACCCCTAAAATCACCCGTGTACTATGAGCCCTTGTAAACCGCTACAAGCACTTCCTATCATGCAACCGCTGCAGACCCCCGGAAGCCCTACAGGAACCCCCGGAGATCCTTCTCCTATTCAGGTGGTGGCCTCGCTCCTGGCTCTCCGAGCAGTCTCCACCTCAGCAACAAAAAAACAGCGGAGTTTCGCTATTTTAGGCGTTAGGCCGAGACCCAGCATTAGTCTCTAGCAATTTCCTTCTTGTACGGGGCTTTGGGTTTAGTCTTGGTCGAGGTAGTTTCAGGCCTCTTCGGAAAGTCGATGTGCATCGAATCACAAGCGATCCTTAACCCCCTTTCTCAGGTTGCTTGGAAAGGTTGGGGTCGTGGATTCCGATGGTTTTCGTCAGTTTTGCACGTAGGGTTGATCTCGTGACATGGTTATGTCGGTCCGGGGAACTGCTTGATAGCTGTGGAAGCCGGAGATTTTCTAGGTATCGATGGGGCATGCTACTGAATAAATGTATATGGCCATGGCGTTAAGATAGAATCCGAATCATGAGAAGCTTCAGCTGGCTGAACGCGACATCCCATCTGAAGAGTTCTAGGGCTGGACCAGACGATGCTTTCCAGTGTGTCTTTGGGACTTTTTGTCAAGATTTATTCTCGAAATTCAGTTGTTGAAGCCTCTGCCTCTCTGGCTTTAGGATTTCCAGAGAGAACCTCATTGGGCATACCTGCTGGCAAGGCGAAAAATCCATGAAGACCACATTTTCTCTTCAGCCATTTAGGATTTCAGACACTCGTCCACCCCGCAGGCTCCGGGCTTCCTGTGCGATACTTCCGCCATGACTCGGACAATCACGTCACCCATGCGATCCATGGTCGTGCTGGCGATGCTGGCGACGGCACTTTGGTCAATGGTACCCGGAATGTCCTACACCGCGCCAGCAGGGGGCGGCTTGACCCGGAAGCAGATGCACGGCAACATCCGCAACAAGGACAAGCTGCCAGGTGTCATCGAGATTCCCTTGGACGAGGAGGAGCCGGAGCTTGAGGCTAAGCCTGAGATGCCCGAGAAGCGTGTGCCATATTCGATGCACATCGTCACTCAGCTCCCGCAGCACAAGCACCTTCACGAGGAGAGCAATGCTCGGAAGTTCATCGAGGACAAGGTGGTGGGTGCCTTCGAGAACTTCGAGGGCTTCATCCGACATGTGGAGGTTCACCTGCAGGTGCCTCTGCTGTTGCTGCGAAACTTCCGGGTAAGTTTCGTGCGTGTGTGTGTGTGTGCGCGCATGGAAATATGTGTGTAGACATGTCTGTCTGTGGGCATGCATGCATGCATGTATGTATGTACGTATGTATGAGGGCTCTGGATCGAACTCCACGAAAGGGTGGAGTATTGCTAGAACCCCAGTGACCGTAGTCACGCCGTCCCCTGCCTGGCATCGCAAGCTGCGAAAGAGGCGAGCAAGGGATCGCTTCCGCATACATCTTGCTCGCGCTCACGGGGGTGTGCCCCCTCTGTCTGCAATCTTTAGACTGCAACAGCACCATAGCAGGCCGCGATACAGAGAGCTGTCGATGGGGAAGAGAGAACAATGGAAGGGCGGTTGGAACTACCCCGCTCCAAGACAAGAGGAAAGCCGGCCCTGGCGGCTTTGGCCGGGATCCTACTCGGCATCGCCTACGGCCTCAGGCGCCAAGACGCGATACGATCGCATGCCTGTCCCGGATTCGGAGTGGAAGACTGGAGCCAATCCCACTCTACAGGCCAGCGATGCATCCGAGGCGTCTGGTCGGGCAGAACTCATGAAGGAGGTGCAACGCATGGTGACAGCAGCCCGTCGTGCAGACGGGCGGGTCCGGAAGCTCCAAGAAGAGAAGCTGCGACGCGAGGCCCAATGGCGCCTGTACGAAAAGAAGACCAAGGCAGACTTCTTGGAGCAAAAACGCAACTTCCAACACGACCTCAAGAAGATCGCAGACGAGATAGAAGCAGCCAATCAACAGGGCGTGGAGGCCTCTTCCGAAGTCAAGGGGTTGGTTGCCAGAGGAGTAGCTGCCCGAGCACAGCCGATGGAGGAGTCCGACGAGTGGGATGCCCTCTTGGCTGGTGGCGACAACACGGAAGAACAAGGGTTCCTACGAGACGCCCTTGCAGCTGCCAACATGATGAGTGGAGCTGCCCCAGGTCCCAGCCGACGGGAGGGAAGGTTCCTGAATCCAGCAGATGCAGCCAGAATCTTAGCAGCTACAATGGCGACTCTCCCAGCGGAAGTGGGTATGAGCAACCCAGGCATGCCTGTGAATCCGGGCACCTTCAATGTACCGACCGCCCCGCTGGGTCCAGGGATGCCCAATCATCCACCACCAGCCCATGTTGGTGTGCACCAGACGGCACTGAACAGTGGACCGCCACCTGGACTTTCGGAAGCCCCTACCAAGGCGGCCCCTCCACAGGGACACCCTGCACACGCCCCACCGGATGCCTACACGGCCCTTTCACCTGGGGCAATGGGAACAAGGTCGTCTCCCTACCCGCCGACATCTCCTTCGCCCTTGGCACCTACTACGGATGCTACCGCCGAGATGCCAGAACGGCGGCCACCTATGCCGGCACATACCTGTCAGCGAGATTTGGGACAGATCAGAGTCCCAACCGATCAGGCCCCACCTCGAGCAGGAGTCAAAGATGCATCGAAGAAGCCACCCAGCAAGGGTCTTCCCAGTGGATCGGACACAGAAGCCAAGCTCCAGGCCAAAAGGGAAAAGGAGCTGGCTTCAGCATCCGCAGCTCTCAAGCCTTTTGGCGTGGGACCTGCCCCCACAGAAGCAGGGGTGACTACAAATGCAGGCTCCCCTCCGGGCACCACAGTCCGAGAACAAGCCGCGCACCTACAGTACGACGACGAGGATTCGATGAACGAGGACCTTCCAACATGATCAGTTATCCGTTGGTTGATATTGCAGGCTTGGCAGGGTCGATTTCCTGTGAGAGTCCATCGGAGCCCTGGCCAGGGGAGTTGAGACTGGGTTCAACTCCCTGGCCTATGATCTCCGCTGGATCTCTCCTGGACCGCGACGTCTGTCCCAAACCTGCAGAGGGTAGCTATGAATGTACAGTGTCCTTGTACAAACCTCGTGTTGCGCTGGAATCTAGGAGCTTCGTTTCACGTGCTCTCAGGCATCTCAAAGTCTTTTGCCAGAGGTGGGCATCTGGACTTGCCCTTTGCCTACTTCCTTGCTTTTCGTTGTCCTCGGCAGCTCTTATGGAACACGGGGCTTGTGTTTCCTGTGGAGCCTGCCCGTGCCACGCCACAGCCTTTCCTTTGGGGCTGACTGTGTACTCACCGCGAGACCTGTGCCAATCGGTGCGGCCATCTTTTGCCGCACAGTGTGCCATGTGGGGATTTTCTCATAAATTAGGTGAGGTTTTTCCTTTTGGGGTGAGGGCGCGTAATACTTGCATCGGTCGCGCTGGGGCAAGAGCCTCACCCAGTTATCACCAGTTCTCGTGGGTTTCCCTGCCAGGCCTGCCAGACAATATGAACCGGGCTTCACGGGGCAGTTTTCCTGGCAGGAATCTGTCTTCCAGCCCAACCACGGCATGGGCGCGCAATACTTGCATCGGTCGCTCTGAGGCAAGAGCCATGCCGTCAGCTTCATGGGTTGACAGTCTGCCATACACATTTGCTTTGTGTTGGATTCAACGTTTTGCTTGCTTTCTGGTACCATTTGCCAGAAGCCTTCTTTTCCTCTGTGGCCTCAGTATCTTTGCTCTCTTAGGGCGCAACATCGCAGGCAGACACTCCCCTTTGGGATCCCTTGTCTTTGCACCCAGTCTTGGTGCACCATGGGCATTTGCACTTGCTCTTGGCCGTGCTGGTGGTCCCACACCCCTGCTAGACTGGTCCGTGAGACCTAGACAAGTTCCCAAGCACAGGAGAGCCCCTGCGAGGGTCACCCCTTTGCTTACTGCCGCGGATAGGCTACTGGGTTGCCTACCCTGTCTTCTATGGTCACCTCCCCAGGGCCTTCCGAGCCTGCACTTCACCGGCCTCTTTTGCTCGCCTGGTCTCATAAGGTTGGTACTCGTGGGCCAATCACTCTACTGCGTATCGGCCATGACAGCTCCCTTCGGGGCATTCCAGAGAGTGACAGAAGAGGTCGAGCTTCATCCACTTCCCCCTCAGGAAAGTGCTACCTATCATGGTAGCGGTTGGCCCCCAAGACCTCCAACAGGCCCTACTCACAGCCCTGATGTTGTGCCATTAGGACCAGCAAGATCGACCACTATGCCGTCAGGTAGTGGACCCTGGCTTGCCGTAAATGTCCATGCACCACATTTCAGGAGTGTCGATGTCGCATGCAGAGTCCCAGCAGGGGCAGATTTGCACCATGTTGCCGAGCTAGTCAAGGCCTACTCCGGAGGTGTCTCACCAGGTGTCTTTGATGTCATAACCCCGGTGAGGCCGCTCCGCTTTGCAGAGTTCGCGGAGTTCGTTAGGCTGCCACATGTCATCAGATACCAGTCCGGCATGAACATGGCCACCATCATTCTAGACCTTACGAGAGTCGGAGGGAATTACTTCCCCTACAGCCTGCCCAGGACGATGGGACACCAGGCATTCCTGGATTTCATCCAGGACCACATCAGAGTTGAGGCAGAAGAGGTTTATGTCTTTGTGGGAACCAGGCCCGAGCCCTGGCCCAAGCGTGAGCCCTTCGAATTCAGGGATGGGGACGCGGTCATTCTCTCCATCCATCGTGATGCACAGGTCCAGACAGGCAACATTGAAGCCCTTTTTCTACCAGAAGCACGATGGGGGGATGTTAATAACCTGCCAAGACTCCATCCGGCCTCAGGTGTCTATGTCCTCCATGGACCTGACAGCTATTTTATAGCTGACTACCATCATTCAGGCGTTGGCACCGCCAAAGCAGTTTCTGACCGCCTGCGCACAAATCTGCAAGCCATCACTACGTGCAGCTTTGAGTCACACGATTTCGACTTTGGAGGCAAGAATGGCCACACAATCTTCTGCGTTGCTGACCTCCCGTGGCCCCACGCCGACCCACTTCAGCTGGCCCGAAGGGACATCTTCATTCTGTGTGACCTCCGCGCCTTAGGCAAACCTCCAGAGATGATCTACACCAACCACCCAGTCCTGCACCTTCCCAGTGTTTGCGCGAGGTTTGGCCTTCGGCTTCCGCCTTCGTATAAGGTCCTCACGATAGGGGGCAGGGAGGTAGATGAAGAGGTTTTTGTCGATGAGCACTCTGTTCTTGTCTTCACTGCTGTCCCGGTCACTGCAGATGTTACTGGTTCAGAAGGGCCTGCTGACAGCAACAGTGATCAAGGGAGAGAGCGCGAGCTACCCTCCTCGCCTGCGCCAGAAACCACGGATGCAGAGGGCTCCTCACAGCCCAGGCTACGAAGTATTCGGTTCTCCCCCCACGCCGCCGAGTTTATCAATGATGACTTTACCCTATCGATTGACTCTGGCACAGGCGGCGTGCTGGGAATCATACTTCATGCGCCTTACTACCAGGAGGACTACCTTGCAATTTTCTTTGACCCAGCTCAGCCGCGCTCCTCCATACCGGACCGCATCCGAGCATCAGAGCCACGAATCCCGCTAGATGCTCTGGAGTGTATCGTACCGATCGATCCCCTCCCGGACCCAGGATTCGGAGCATATCTTGCATATCCCCCCATCCTCGACAGTAATGACCTAGTTGCTGTGCTTGTCGATCTCAGGCCAGCTCTGGGTACCAAGTTCGCAGCAATCTTGCCGAAGCACCTTCCCTTTGAGGCATGGGACCGATATGTCAAAGTGCTTTTGCCAACTAGGCACTACGCCTATGATGTCTTTCTTGGCACAGCCACATGCCCTATGCCCACAGGGTCTGATCTAACACTCTCGCATGGGCTACTTATACAAGTATACCCGGCAGGCACGCGCAGAGAGAGCATGAACAGGATCGAACAACTGCTTGCCGACCACAGTCTCTGGAGGCTAGTCGGAGACATCCCCAGGTTGCCTGTGAGACCTGGTCTCTGCTTACTCTCCACAGGAGAACAGCGCTGGTATCTCTGCAAGGAAGATTACCCCAGTTCCAGTTTAGTTGAAGCAGTCGAGCAGTGTGTGCATGCAAGCCCGGGAACTCTCACGATCGCTTCATCGCGACGCCCCCATCTCAGGGACATCTGCCTGCATGGGCGACGCTGTAAGGGAGCAGTCATTCTTGTGCATCTTCCACCGCCGGTCTCCCCCTCAGCTGAACACACGCCCAGACAAGATGCCTTCCTATTCGTTGACTATCGGCCAGTTGGGGTCCGTCCTTTTGGTTTTCATCAGGTAGGGACCTCTTGGGATCTTCAGACCATTTTGGCAAAGGTTCCAGCTGGTATTCCGGAAGGTTATCAGGTGCACATTGAGGGGGCCTGGAAGGATAACACGACACTGGTTGCCCCTTCGGGCACCACTGTGACGGTTTTCCTGGCTAAAATTCTTACGCCAGTTGGCCCTCCTGCAGGCCCGACAGAGCCCGACAGTACTATCTCGTCCACATTACCCGCCCCAACTAGGAAGAGGTCGCGTTCCCTCTCAGGTGGCCGGTACACTGAGGCGGACCCATCGGCAGGCGCCACCCCAGGGCCAACAGACAGGTCTGCGCATCATGCCCAGGTCAGCACAGGTCGCAGCACAGCCACCAGCGCTTCTGGCCTTTTTGTTGCCGCAGCTGCCATTATGGACACAGCCGATGCTGCGCATTTTGGACTGGGCCCCTCCTACACGGCGGGCACACCAGGACTAGCGTACGTCAGCACAGGGCTATGCTGGGCCTTGCACGGCCTGGCTGCGCTTGGTTCCCTCTGCCTGTTGTGTTGGATTTGCATTCACATGAAAGCACTCTGCCACTCTCGAATTGGCAGCCGAACTCCATCCGACAAGCTCTTAACCGAGCCTGTTGGGGACACCCCCAGCGGGAATGCGCATTTAGACCGCCTCCGTGCTCTGACAGCCGCCCTTGGAGGACGATGGCTTCGTGATGCCCGCCCCATCTTCCCAGGAGCTGTTGAAGAGATTGACGGACATGGTGCCGACCCATCACTACAAGAGGAAGACGATACCGTCCTTCATATTTGTTGCATTATCCTGAAAGTCGGACACACCCCAGAGGAGATCTGTGTTGCGCTCGCCATTCCGGCCACCCAAGAGGAGGCAGAGACTGCTGTGCTGGCTGCCAGGGATCCAGCGATCAGACGCATTTATCCCTCCCTGGTACCAGTCACGCCACAACCACTCACTGGCAACGCCGTGTTCCTGGCAGGGCCTGCCTGGATCGGCATCCTAGACGGCTGCTGTTTTGATACCACAGCGGTTGACGGTCGTCTCTTTGCCATAAGAGCTCCTGATTATATTTCCCGTCACGAGCTCGTCAGCCTCGCACACTTTCAGGATGCTTGTGAGGTTGAAGGACTGGTTGGCACAGATCAGGAGCCACTCCTTGACGAAGTGCCCATCCACCTTTTCCCAGGCATGCTTGTGACCTTCCTTCCTGCGGGGGAGCAATGCACAGTGCGTTATACACTTGGACAGCAACTGCAAACCCGTCTAGTTTGGTCGGAGTGGTCTCTACTTGAGGGCCACCAACCACTGGATGCATACTGCCTGGTATGCGGCGATTCTGTGCTTTTGCATTTTGCTGATCCGGGCGCTCCAAAGAGGTATAGGGATCACATTGCCGACACTGCCAATGTCCCCGTGAGGTCCATGCGGATTCAAGCTGCACAGCCAAGACCCACGGATGTTGCACTTTGGGGCTTCGCCTGCAGGTCAGTTTTGGTTGTCTCCAGCTTTCCACACACCCATCCCGAAGGGACTCTGCATCATTGCTTACTTGACTGCAGACCACTCTGTGGCACCTGGCAAGCTCTACGAGTACACATGCAGGGCCAACGGGTGCAAGATCTCTTGCCACAGATCACCGACCTGCCTCCCCTTGGTCATCGTCTTCGCCTTTGTCCGGGTCCAGGTTGCATTCTTGTTGCCGAATATGACAGCCTTCAGGATTCGGGGGATCATTACAGCAGGGGAGCAGCAGAGCAAGAGGACCCCGTTCAGGCCTCTAGCACAGGCAACCCTGGCCCAGAAGCCATCTCGGAAGCGAGCGCCACCGACAACACTGGGCCCCCTGAAGAGGATTCAGAGGCCCCCCACCGGTGACACCGGTGACAGATATTGCAGACGCTCGAGGAGCGGGACTGTGGGTCCCGGAGCATGCCATCCTGTTATTTGCACAGGAATACTCGCCCGAGTTGATTGCCCTTCCCCGACGACCACCGACCACTCTTGTAGACCTCCTGGCTGCACTGGAACAACACCGGGCCCCGGATTCCCATCGTCGCAACCCGAGGCTTGTGCCGGTTTTCCCACAGCCACAGGACCTACCCCCCACGTTGCTCGCCCTGCCCCACTGGCACCCGGAGGGGATTGCGGTTCTCATCGATTGCAGGCTTGATCACAGAAGGGTCTTTGCTGTCGTCCTCCCCTTCTTTGTTTACCGAGATGATGTTGCTCGAGTCGCTGGCATTGACACTGAACGGCACTACCATGTATATGCAAAGGATGTCCCATGGCCGACCCCCGCCGGGCACCGCATCTATCTCACACTAGGTGACCGTTTACTCATCTGCGACACTCAGACATTACCGGGACACCCAGTTGACCTGCCCTACGCTCTGGGGGTGACTGCAAACAGAGATTATGTGCTGCCCCCTTCGCTGTATCCATCTGACTGCAATTGGGTACTGTCTGACGGCATACACACAGCTGTTGCTGTCAGAAGTGATCATTTTGCTACTGACAGCCTGCATGTTGCCCTTGCTCTCGCCCTGCCGGCCGGACATTTTCTTCTTGTCCCGGCGGTACCTCCCATCATTGACCATGCCAACCGAGGGACCTACTCCCAGGGCGTCTTCATTGCCTGTCAGACAGAGGACTACCCTCCTGCTGGTCATGGCAGAGGAATTCCCTTCGTTTTGGATCCGAGGGCCATCCTGCTGCCCCTGTCGTGGGCATATGCCCCCGAGGGCCGACTTGATGTTGCTGCTCTCTGCAATCGCTTGGCCGTACGCTGTCCCAGCGGGTATCATGTCAGACTTTATGGAGGAGAATATGAGGCTGATCAAGGCAACCATGTCCGCCATATCTCCGCGGGTGACGTCCTTGTTGCAGAATTTCAACCCAATTATGTCAGGGACGTGGTATCACAGCTGCACCCCGCCTCCTTTGCGCACCTCATCGCTGCACACACGAACCTTGCTGGGAACACCAGAGACAGCCCAGCCACGTCCTCATCCAGCAGACCTGATGCAGGCACAGGCAGCTCACAGGGAGGCCACACTCGAGGTCGGACCAGTGCGCAAACGCCAGGATCTTCAGCCCAGACCGCGTCATGCCGGCCTAGCGTCAGCTGGACGACACATGACCAGTCCGAGAGTACAGGACCCTCCTCCCCTGGACACAGACCTGCACGTTGCTCGACTGTCGCCTCAAACAGCGGGTCCCATCCCCTTCACTCTCATGGAGTTTTCCCAAAGCTCATGCGGGCTGTTCTTGCAATCACAGCCCTTGTGACTGGGTCGGGTGGTATGGCCATCCCCATACAGTCAGAGCAATCCACGGGACATGTCCTGGACCCTGCTGTCGCTACCAGTGCAGGTGCTGCTTCGGGTTGCAGCCCCCAGTCCATCCAGGCCGGGGCACTTGTTGCCCAAGGTAGAGCTGACCATTCAGTCCAGGTACATGGTTTCCGACCCATCCCCACACCCTGCCGTTCTCTTGTGAGCTGCATGCCCAGGACTCTGTCTGGGGACATCCAGGTCAATAGCCAAGAGGACTCGGAATTTCCCAACCTGGAGGACTTAAGAACACTTCTGCAAGACAGTATTGCAGATACCTCATGCCAGGCCCTTTGGCTTGCGGCCACGCTACTTGAGACCCTGGTCGAGCATTTTGAGGTTGCTTCCACCTTTGACTCAGCCGTCAAACCTGCTCCACCGACTGCCATTTGTCTAGCCGACCTGCTGCCGTCTGCCCAGGTCGTCGACCTCTCAGCCGTCTCATTACCCCTGCATCAGGACATTGACCAAGTTGTCCAATGGACAAAGCTTGGTAACTGGGTTCTTCATAGTAAGCTACCCACAGGACTGCAGGAGCATGCCTGCACAAGCAGCTGCCAGGGCGTCGGATCCTTGTCCATTGATATGACCAACAGATTTGACTGCCTCAGGATTTTTACTGATGGGTCATTTGATGGTGAGGTTGCTTCATGGGCCTTCTGCGTCTTTGGCAGGCTGCAAACACAAGAAGTCTTCCTAGGCTGGGAAGCAGGACTAGTTCCCACACACCGCGAGGCCCCACTCCACCTTGCCAACTGCCGCCACAGTGCACTGTGTGGGGAACAGCACGCGCTTTTCTGGGCAGCCGTCTGGGCTATGCAGAGCCCAGGCCATGCCAGACTCACCCTCCTCTCTGACTGCCTTGTTGCTCTGCAGCAGACAGCTGGGCAGTGTAGCTGGTCTAATGACGACTCCATTGCCCCTCTATGTCGAGCTGCCATGCAAGCACTCCTCGCAGCAAGGCCCACGATTGATCCGGCGATCAAACATGTGAGATCGCACAGGGGATTGGCAGAGAATGAACTCGCTGATCAGCTGGCCAAATTTGCTGCCCGTACTAGGAGGGGGGAGGCCTCTCCCCACCAAGTCTGGGCAGCCAACGGTGCTCGACAAGGAGCACTTGACTGGCTCTGGCTCCACATTGAAAGCACCCTTGCCCCAGAGCACTGGCCCAGACAAGTTGGGTCCTCCTTCGTTGATCTGCACCGACATACAGACGACGCCCCTCTGACCCCTGAAGAGAGCCATGCCGCGCTCGGTCTCTCCGGAGTTGCTACAGAGAGTACTCACAAGAAAGCCCTCAGTGCAGCCCTGCGCTTCATGACCATCAACGTTCAGTCTCTAGCTGACAAGGATTCTGCGCAGATGCCAGGCTCTCAGCCAGACACCTTCCAGGGCAAGGCCCGATACCTGAGGGAACAGCTCCAGCATGGGCAAATCCAAGTGGCAGCGCTACAGGAGGCCCGCGCTCCGGAAGATGCTACATTCATCTCAGACACACATATCCGTATCTGCACCGGCAGGGATCCGAAAGGCAATTTTGGGTGCGAACTGTGGTTCTCACGCACCCTACCTTTCCTTTTTGCAGCTGACACGGCTGGCACCTTCCATCCCAAAGACCTTCTTACCCTGGCCACCTCTCCACGCATGCTCTTGGTGAAATTCACGCGTGCAGGACTCAACATCCTCTTCGCTGCATACATGCGCCAGTCGCAGGATGCCCAGAGCGTGAAGCATGGTGGCATGGCCTTAGTCGTAAACTAAGTAGTCTTAGCCAGGGAGCTTTGGTCGTGCTCATCGGGGATTACAACACCAGCTTCTCCTTGGAAGTTCACAACCGAGTCGGAGACCTGGTGTGGCCAGCGAAGCATTCTGTCCCTGAGGGCCTTACCGCCATTCTCCAGCGCCATGATCTGTGGCTGCCCAGCACCTACAGTGCCTGCCACGAAGGACAACACGATACGTGGATCTCCCCCACAGGCACCAAGGGAGCCAGATTGGACTACCTTGCCATACCCTCTTCCTGGCATGTGCCACCCGCGAGCTCTTGGGTTGACGTCGATCTGGACTGGGGCCAGGCTAGGGTTGATCACTATGGCTTAGGAGTCCAAACACATTTCGTTTTTGGTGCCAGAGCAACGAGAGCCAACAAAGCCCCCTCGTTCGACAGGGATGCCATGTCCTCGGAGGAGGGAAAACTCCGTCTAGCGGACATCTGCAGCCATCTACCTTTGCAGCCGTGGTCGACCAACGTCCACAGACACTATCTGCAACTGGAGCAGCAACTGACTAGTGCGCTTTCGGTTGCCTTCCCTGCTCAGCGGGGCAACTGCAGATCTTCCCATTTTAGTGCGGCCACGTGGGATGTCAGACAAAGACGTGCCTGGTTAAGGCGCCAGCTTGCACGGCTCGGCACCACTCTCAAACTTGCAGAAGTCCAAGCTGCCCTGAGAGCCTGGCACCTCAAGACTATACTACCTGCAGGCAGACTCCTCGCCCTTTTCAAGCAAATGCTCACTGCCCGCAGGTTTCGTGATCTGATTTCAGAGCTTCAGACCACCAAAGGCAGGCTCAGGCACCTCATCCGTACGGATGTTCGTCAGCGCATACAAGAGACAGCAGCGGCTGCCGCGGCCATCCCCCGTGCAGATGTTGTGACCAGGCTCCGGCCGCTTCTGGGCCCACCCCGTAGGAGGCAAAAACAGCGTCAGACTCTCAAAACAGTTGTGGATGAGTCTGGGGCTCCGGCCAGCACACCTGAGCAGGCGGAGGACCTCTGGCTAGCACATTTTGCAGGTCTGGAGGCAGGGGTCCAGGTCGATCCTACAGCACTCGCACGCAGTGTTCAGGAGGCGCAGCAAACTCGTGACCTCGATGCCTATGCCCTTTCCGCAGGGGACCTGCCCTCCAGAGTTTCGCTAGAACTCTCACTGAGGAAAACCCAGACTGGGAGGGCACAAGGCACCGACAACATACCGGGCGAGGTCCTTCACTTCGCAGCTGGTACCGCCTCGAAGGCGCTGTTTCAGTTGTTCCTCAAGATCTCGCTTCGATCAGCCGAACCACTGCAGTTCAAGGGGGGGACCCTTTACGCGGTCTGGAAGGGGAAGAACAACCCCTCTATCTGCTCGTCACATAGGGGCATCCTCGTCAGCTCCACGACTGGCAAGGCGTTCCATCGCCTTCTCAGAGACCGCGCCGTCGGTACCCTCCAGAATGTTTCAGCAGATATGCAGATTGGGGGGCTCCCCAAGTTCCCAGTTGTTCTGGCCTCCCACTATGTGCGACTGTTTCAAGAAGGATGTCAGAACAAGCGCCGCAGCCATGGACTTCTTTTCCTGGACTTTCGCGAAGCATTCTACCGAGTTGTAAGGCCTCTGCTGACAGGCACTGCCAACAAGGATGAAGATATAGCAGCTATTCTTCGGGCTGTCCATCTTCCTCCCGGGGTCATGCACGAACTACATGCACACCTCAAGGCCCAATCCTTGGCGAGAGAGGCAGGGGCGCCCCCCTGGACGGACTTCGGACTCAAAGAAGCCCTTGATGGTACGTGGTTCAGATTCCAGGGTGGACACAAGGTTGTCTGCACCAGCATCGGCTCCAGGCCAGGTGATAATCTGGCGGACGTCTGTTTCTCTTTTATTTTCGCGAAGGTTCTTGCTGCCATTCGTGACGATCTGGATGCACAGTGTCTCCTCCCCGAAGTGCCCTGGCATGATTCTATGCTCTGTAACGTCATGCCCACTCAGGCAGTCCAGAGCACATCAATACGTGCTCTGGACGCAACTTGGATGGATGACGCATCATTTGTGGCCTCGTCCGATACAGCAGAAGGCCTGGTCAGTGCGTTAAAAGCTACAGGAACCGCAGTAATCGATGCGTGCCTGAGTCACGCTCTACTACCCAACTTGGACCGCGGTAAGACCGAATGCATAGCCGCGCCTATTGGCCCCCAGTCTCGCAAGGCTAGGGCGCAACTCTTCAGCACTGCAGACCCAGTGTTGCAGCTTTCCTGCAGGCTTTGGCCCTCTGCACAGATCCGGCTGGTTTCCACCTACCAGCACCTGGGTGGATTTATCCACCATGACGGGTCCCTAATTAGGGAATTACGACATCGTTCGGGCCTTGCTTGGAAGGCATTTAATGCCAAAAAGAAGGCCATCTTTGCCTCCCCTGGGGTAGACAAAGCCGACAAGAAAATCTTGTTCGAGTCCCTAATTCTTTCCATCCTCCTGCATGGGGCGGGAACCTGGGGGGCCCTAAGTGCCAGAGAGCATACGACTCTGCAGTCTGCGTACCATGGCATGGCCTTTTACATGCTCCGACCAACCATGTCTTATGAAGAGGCTCTACATCTTGGCGGCGACCGTGTGCTTACGCTGCTTGGGCTACCCGCTTTGCAGACCCTGCTGCATATAGCCAGGCTGCGCCATCTGCTTTCTTGCATACAGACTCGTGTTCCGATCATGTGGGGTCTTCTGCACTGGCAAGCAAACTGGCTTTCTTCAGTACGGACATCGCTGGAGTGGCTATGGACCCATGTTGGCAAGGATTTTCAAGCCCCTCACTGGCAGGCGGCCTGGAGCCAATGGCAGGACATTTGCCTTTCCAGACCAGGCCGCTGGAAAAGCCTTCTCCGACGTGCACAACATCAAGCCTGTTTGCAGGAGCGCTGGCGGTTTGCAGCTCGACAGCATCTAGGCCTGCTGGGTCGCCAATTGCGGCTTGCGGGTGCTACCATTCCTGCAGCTTATGTTACGTCAGCGGAATGCCGGCACTTCTGTGCCCCCTGCCAGCTCATCTTTGCCTCCTATCAAGCCTGGTCTGTTCATGCCTTCAAGACACACGGGCACACGGCCGAACACCGCCAAGTACAGCATGGACTCCAATGCCAAGCCTGCCTCCGCCACTTCACGACACATGTGAAACTATGTAGGCATTTACAGCACCAGCCTCGATGCCGACAGACCCTCCTCAGTCAGGGCCATCACTGCTCTGTTGAACCAGGGGTCGGTAACAAACGCACTGCCGATGAGGGCAAGTTTCAGGCCCCATCGTTGCAGGCCCAGGGACCAGTCCTCTCTCTTCAGGTAGACAATTGGGTGCCCTATCTGGAGCGGCCCTCCATAGAAGTTCTCGACTGCCTCCATTTCGTGGATTTCGACTTGGAACCAGCGAACTTCACGGAGGCTGCGGTAAAAGAAAGGGCCCGCCTCGCACTCTGCTCGGTCTGCCTTCCTCTGCCCAAAATCCGTGCTACGGTGAGAGCATGGAGCGAGCAGATCCATTGTCTCTTTGCTGAGGCCCCAGTGAAGCAGGGGGTGTGTCAGACAGTAATCCACTGGATCCTCAATTGTGATCTAGTGCAGTGGTTGGTCCCAGCACCCAGGGGAAAAGTGCCTCTGCTTCACACGTTCCAACAGGCTGAGGATATCCTTATCCACCTGGATCACTCTGGCATTACCCCTCCCGAGGTTTTGTGCCCTCGGGATCCAACCCTCATCCGAGTCGGTCCGGCTGACTGGCTCCGTGGACTGCCCGATGGTCCCATCTCTGCTGTGGATTTCACTCATGAGGAATGTCTCGAGGCCTTCCGTGATGGTCGGACTCCATGCTTCATTGAGGATCCTCCCACAGATGTGATCTTCCTCCTTTCAGTCCGCTCTCTCCCAGGCTGGTCTGCTCGACCTCTGCCCCCCGTCAAGGACCGGGCATTTTCCGAGCTTTTGGACCAGGCCACTCTGCATTATGATTTGGTCAGATTTGCACTAAGGCTCTGGATTGCTGGCATCCCCACCGCGCTCATTGCGGACTGTCTGTCTGAGACTCTCCCGACCCAGGTTCAGACACTGCCCTTTCTTGCCACTTCTCCGTGCCTTGTGCCTGCCCTCATCTGCACTGGCAATTTTGCCTGGGAGCCATTTTTGTTTCACTTTCTCTAATTAACTCTGCACCCACAAAGGGCTGCATCCGCGTACGGATTCTCCGCCCGAAACGAGCGAAACGAGCGAACGTATGTATGTATGCATGCATGCATGCATGCATGTATGTATGTATGTATGTATGTATGTGTCCGTCTGTCTGTCTGTCTGTCTGTCTGTCTGTCTGTTTGTATGTATGTACGTATGTATGCATGTATGTTTGTGTATGTATGTGTGTATGTGTATGTCTGCATGTCTGTATGTATGTGTTATATGTATATCTATATGTATGTGTGGATGTGGATGTGGATGTGGATGCGGATGTGGATGTGGATGTGGATGTGGATGTTCATGTGCATATGCATGTGCATGTGCATGTGTATGTGCATGTGTATGTGTATGTGTATGTGTATGTGTATGTGTATGTGTAAGTGTGTGTATATATATATATCTCTGTGTGTGTGTGCGTTTGCTTGTGCCTGTGTGTGCGCGTGTGTGTGTGTGTGTGCGTGTGTGTGTGTGTGTGTGCGTGTGTGTGTGTGTGTTCGCGCGTGTTTGTGTGCGTGTGTTTGTGTGTGTGTGTGTTTTGTTATGTGTGTGGGTGTGTGTATATGTACATGCCTGTGTGCCTGTGTGCCTGCGTGCCTGCATGCCTGCATGCCTGCCTGCGTGTGCGCTTGTGTGGTTGTGTGTGTGTGTGCGTGCGTGTGTGTGTGTGTGTGTGTTTCTGTTTGTGTCTGTGTCTGTGTCTGTGTCTGTGTCTGTGTCTGTGTTTGTGTGTTTGTCTGTCTGTGTGTCTGTGTGTCTGTCCGTCTGTCTGTCTGTCCATCTGTCTGTGCCCGCTTGCCTGCCTGCCTGCCTGCCTGTGATTGTATGTATGCATGCATGTATGTATGTATGTATATGTATGTATGGCATGGATGTACGTATGTATGTGTATGTCTATGTCTATATCTACACATGCGTACTTATATGCTGACACACGGTATAGGACAATTGACTGTCTGGCTTCCTGTAGCTATACATAAAGGCATGGGCGTGCATATACATGTGCATACACTTATGCGCTTCACAGGAACCCTAAACCATAAACCCCAAAGCCTAAACCCCAACGCCCACTTGTCTTTGCTGTGGCAGGTACTGAGGTCTGGCGAGACGGTTGCCTGTCGCCGTTCCAGAATGCCTACAAAGCTTCTGTGCACTATGTCAGCGGGAAGATGCCGGAAGAGATGTTTGTGAACTCGGAAGGGGTGCTTGGATATTGACACAGCATTTGTTTTCGACATCGCTGTTCTTGTTTGGAACGCACATCCAGGCCAGTCCAGCGCCAAACGAATATCTAATTTCACGCATAGCCTCGCCCAACAGATCCAGGTATCTACGTGTTGTATGCTTGGGCCTGTCGCCTACCAGTTTCGGAGCCCCGTTAAAAGCCGAGGTTGGATCCGTAGGTCCGATGTCGCGAAACCCTAAAACCCTAAACCTTAAAACAGCCCTGAGCCTCGGACAAAATGCCCGAAAGCCAGAGAAGCACAGCCGAGGCATACAAAGTTCCTCTCAGCTTAGTGCTGCTGTCTCTCAGCATGACGCTGGGCTGGAGGTTTAGGGGTTTAGAGTTTAGGGTTTATGGGGGTTTGGGGTTTAGGGCCTAGGGTTTCGGGGTTTACGGTTTTAGGGTTTAGGGTTTAGGGTCTAGGGATGGATGTTCATAGAGAAATTGGTTATACCCGGACCGTCCCATCGGCCCCTGTCAGACCCTAACTACCCCTTATGTGACAGACATGTGGGACTATATACCCCTACCCAGAGACTCCAAGATCCCTTAATTCAGGAATATACCTTAAACTGTAATAGGAACCCTAACATGATTTAAGGTATATTTCCTTAATTAAGGGGATATTGGAGTCTCTGGTCAGGGTACAAGGGAGGTCCGGGTGATTGCGCAGGATTAGGGTTTGGGGGTTTTTGGAGAAGCTCCCCTGTGGTCTCCTGGCTCGCGCCGAGGAGACTGCCGTCTTGAGCGGGAAAGCGGCTGAGCTAAAATTCGTCGTGTTCGGGGGTTCTTCCTGGTTGCTTCTCAGGGATTTAGACCCGACCGACACCCAAAACCCCGCAGACCCCATCCCTCAACCCTAATCTCTAAACCTTAAACCCCATACCTGCATACCCCATCCCTAAACCCTAATCCCCAAACCCTATCATTACCCTAAACTCTAAGCCCTTAACCCTGCACCCCAAATCCAAAAAGCCTAAACCGCCCAAGCCCTAGACCCTATAGACGCCAAGCCCGAAACCCGAAACCCAAAGCCCCAGAAGGTGAAGTCTATAAGCCCTACCTGGGACTCTAATTACCTAACGCTTTAGGGGTTCTACCTACTAACTAAGGGGTAATGGCTGCTAAACTGTAGGTAAAGAGAGTTACAGGTAAACCCTACACCCTATACGCCCTAAACCCTAAACCCCTAAACCCTAAACCCTAAACCCTAAACCCTATAGACGACCCTAGCCCTAAACCCTAAAACCCTAAACCCCAAACCCTAAACCCTATGAAACCCCCGAAACCCTAAGTCACCAAACCCCAAACCCGAAACCCCAAAAGCTCTGCACCCTCTACTCCCCAAACCCCAAACCCGAAACCCAAAATCCTAGACCCTAAGCCCGACACCCTTGTAGAACCCTCATGGTACCTGGGCCCGTATGGGAATTCATAGCCCCTGAACCCTAGACCCTAAAAGCCCGAAAGCCCCAAACCAAACCCTAAAATCCTAAACCCTAAACCCTAAACCCCCCCAAAAGGTGAGCCTCCTTGTGGCTGTGGCTCTGGTCCTGGCACTGCTCAACGGCCTCCGGGCCTTTGCCTTCCACATGGCGCGAGTACGCAGCTCGGCCTCGCATTTTCCCAGAAGCATCAGGGCTTGCAGGGTTTAGGGGTTTAGGGCTTAGGGGTTGAGGGTTTGGGGGTTTAGGGTTTAGGGGTTCGGGGTTTAGGGTTTAGGGGTTTAGGGTTCTGGGTTCAGAGTTTAGGGTTTAGGGTTTGGGTAACTCTCTTGGCCTACAGATTAGCAGCCATTACCCCTTAGTTAGTAGGTAGAACCCATAAGGGACTTTCCGAAAATTAGGGTACCTTATTTTGGGGTCCTTATAATGAGGATCCTACTATTTAGGGTACTATATCAGGGTCCCCTATTTTCGGAAACCCTCATAACACTGTAGGTAATGAGAGTCCCAGGCAGGGTTTAGGGTTCAGGTTCTAGGGCTCTGAATTCCCGTAAGGGCCCAGGTAATACAAGGGTTCTACAGGGGTTTAGGGTTTAGGTTTAGGGTTTAGGGTTTGGGGCTTTGAATTCCCCTAAGGGCCCAGGTACCATAAGCGTTCTACAAGGGTTTAGGGCTTAGGTCTCTGAAGGTATTTTGGGGGCCTGAATAATTACCTGTATTGGTTTCCTTACTATAAATATAGTATAGAGCCAACTTCCCCAAAGGGCCCAGGTACCATTCATTATAATAGGCGCCAAGGCGCTTAGTGTGGATGTTCGGGATCCAAAGTATGCAATATACTAGGCTGTTACTCTTGAACCCTTTGGGTAGTCTGTCATTTAATGGGTGTACGCGCATGTGTGTGTGAGAGAGAGTGTGTGAGCGTGAGTGTGAGAGAGTGTGTCTGTCTGTGTACCCTAAACCCTAAACTGTCCTAAACCCAAACCCTAAACCCTCAACCCTAAACCCTAAACTCTATAAGCCCTAAACCATAAACCCTAAACTTTAGAACCGTTTGCGTCTGGGTTGTGCTTTTCTTTTGGTTTTGTGGCTCCGATGCGTGGCAGGCTTTGTGAGTCGCTTGCGAGAACGCTGCTTCCGCCACTACATGCGCCCCGGCCCGCTTCTGTTTTGGGTTTAGGGTTCAGGGCCTAGGATCTATATGGTTTCGGGTTCGGGGCCTAGGATATATAATCTATAGGGTTTAGGGTTTAGGGGTTTTGGGTTCAGGGCTTAGGATTTATAGGGTTTATAGCTTCAAATACAGATGTACAAAGATTATGAACAGATTTTTTCAGTGTTTCGGAGATAGGGTATAGCTTTTGTTGGGCAGCGGTTTGGGGTTCCCTAAACCCTAAACCCCTACACCCCCTAAGCCCTAAATTTAAAACCCCCTAAACCCTTAATCCTAAGCCCTAAACCCCCTAAACCCCCTAAACCCTAAATCCTAAACCCTAAACCTTAAACCCCAAACGGTTCGGTGTTTTGGTCTTCAGGGCTGGTCTCCGAGACCGGGGTTGGGCTGAGGGAAACGTCCTTACGAATAGCTGTCCAGAAACCTTCTGGACAGCTCTGTAGGGTTTAGGGTTTAGGGTTTACCTAGACCCCAAAGAACCTAGCCTCTGAAGGATTTATATAATTTTAAAAAATCATAACAAGGAGCCCTAAAAGGGAGGTTCTTCAGGGCCCAGGTAGGGTTTAGGGTTTAGGCGGCCAGCCGGAAAGATCAGTAGTCTTGCTTCCCGGAGAGCCCAATACCCCTGAATTAAGGAATATACCTCAAATCTTAATATTAAGGCCCCTTAGAATTTAAGGTATATTCCTTAATTAAGGGATATACCTTAAACTATAGGGGGGTTAACATTATGGTTTAAGGAATATTCCTTTAATGAAGGGGTATTTCAACCCTAAACCCTGAACCCTCTCTGGGTGCTTCTGCCTCGCAGGGAACGTGGAATGAATCCCGGCACTGCTTGCCCATGCGCTCCCGAGACGACCGCTGCACGAGACTCCCATGAAACCTACGGCTGATGATATAAATCCTGCATTACCCATAATAAGGACTATACCATAATTCCCATAGTTTAGGGTCCTTATGCCGGACTTAGATCATCAACAGTATGTGGAGGCCTTGAAAACCCTGCAAAACCACAGTCTTTATAACCTTAACACCCGCATATAAGCCCTTGAAACATCGTATCAGTCCTTATAAATCCTAAACCCTTCAAATGCACCTTGATAAGATCCTTGAGCTTTCAAGTAAG